CATCATTACTCCAGTCTTCAGAGTCACATGATCTTTCAGAAATCATTCTAATATGCTGATTTGATGCCGAAGAAACATTTCTGATTATTATTAATGTTGCAAACAGTTTGATATTTTTAATGGAAAGGTACAATAGAAAGTCCAAAAGAACATAAAAAACAAACAAAACAACAACAAACTGGCTGAACAAATATATATTTCTGGAAAATGCTGTAACTATAAACCAATATTTGGTCCCATACTATTAGCCCCTTCTCGTAACCCTCTTAACCATTCTGCCATTTTATTAACTTTTTATTTTAAATTTTATTTTTTTGTGGAATGTTATTTAATGCTCAAAAAAGAAATGCACAAATCAAAGTTTTAAAATGTATCCAAACATGTCCCAAATTCTGTTAAGGGTTGCAAAAACATCTCGTCTCATAAAAACTGAATAGAAAATCTCCTTTCATTGACATTGAAAAAAAATAATAAACATTTTTTTTGCCATTCAGTGTTTGATTAGCTTAATAAATTCTCCGAATAATGTATTTACAAACAGTCTTTCCATGAAGAAACCAACAAATACACAACTAACATACCAATTACTGCACTAAAACACTACAAGTTTGGCCCAACACTGTGCACTTGCCCTCTCTGTGACACTTAAAGCTTGGAAGTACACAGCTTACATTGGATTCCCTTCGACTGTGTGCTGAAGAGCTAAAATTCTGCTGACGTTGTTGAGTTAACACGTACAGGCTCGAGCACAGCTGTGCTGCTCCTGCTGATGGCTCCACTTCCCACCATCTGCCCAATCTGATAATACAATTCACTTAACACCCCCCATCTCTTTCACACTCACAAAAACATTGATGCTTTAAGGCAGGGGCTCCAAGCATGTTCCTGAAGGCCACTGTCATGCAGAGTTTTGCTCCAAACCTAATTAAACACACCTGATCCAAAGTAATCAAGATCTTCAGACTGACTAGAAATTTCAAGGCAGGTTTGTTGGAGCTAAACTCTGCAGGACATTGGCCGTCCAGGAACATGATTGGAAAAAACCTGCTTTAATGGGTTCTTGTTGTAAGAGACAGATGCCTGTTGTCATTTATTTTACAGTAAAACTACTGTACTGTAAAACCAAGCGGCAACCTCCCGCTCTCTCTCGTGAAGCCAACACGGAAGTGACTTAAACTGTAATTCGTCAACTGGCTGCTAGAGACTGGCTGCAAAAAGGAGCTAATCCCATAGACTCCCCATGTTAAAATGCCCAACTTTACAGTAGGAAAAAAACATATTTACAGCCTGGTTCAGAAAATTATTTTGGTCTATATAGCTAATTTTGCCCTTCATGACAACTGTGAGGGAGCTGAATTTTTGTATAACTCAACCATTTAAATTATATTAAGCCTTAAACTGCTGCATAATTAAGGGCGTGGCCACTTGAGTGACAGGTGGATTGCCGCTGCTGACACTGCCGTCGAGCTTGGTGGGTGTGGTTTCAGCAACCAGCTCCCGCCTTTTTGCCCATTTTCGATTATCCGGGAGTGACGCGCGGCGACGCGCTGCCAAGATGGTGATGGCCGGCTCCGCCCACTTTGAGCTTCAAAACCGCTCTTCAGAAAACTACGGGTGACGTCACGGACACTACGTTCAAACTAATCTGTAAAACCTAAAATGTTTACACTGTTTTTTTTTTATGGTACAGTTCTATTTTTTTAATACCATGTGGTCACCATTCGCTGTACAGAAAAGCGGATCAACATTGTGTTTAACAACTCTGAAACGATACGAGTAAACAATGACAGAATTTTACATTTTAGGCAAACCATTTCTTGGAGTCTTTCACTTTCAACTCAAAATAAGAAATCAACACAAGCGGTTGCATATAAAATAAAAGCTGATACATTTATTGATGCATTAGAGCTATAAATTTGGTGTTGACTAAACTGCAATGCAACAATCCCAATCATAATGCATGCCTTTGGAGTAAACAGACGTACAAGTCCATATCCGCTGACCCGCGTTGTGTCTCTCAGAACAAAACAATGTTCCGCAAATTAAAATTTACTGCAACTGTCCCATAAACATGACAAACGGTATTAAATTTAAACTGCTGCATACTCTGCAACCTTCAACTATATTTTCAGCCATATAAATCAAAGCTGGTACGTGAGCTGGTAGTGGGCATCAGGGTTCACTTGGCTGAAGCAAGTGCGCGTCGCTAAGTACGTGTAGTGGAAGTGATGCATCAGCCGCTGGCAGGGAGCCAATCGCCACGGTAACAGTGTCTGCTGTCTGATGCATTTGTAGCATAGCACCTCGCTAAGAAGGGTCATCCACACTGCTATAAATAAAGCGCTAACGACTACGCTCGGCTTTTACACTGTAAGCTATGCATTATAATATTTAATCAGCCCTACTAACCTGCGGTAAATGAGAGTCAATTTCACTGTAAACAATTTATGTTGTAAACTCATCAGCAAGAGTGATATTTACAAGGTTCTTTATGCGGTATGAAAGGTTTCGTGATTCGTTCGTCAACAGCATTTTATTGGATGTAAATTTTGTAGAGTAACACAAGCGATCTGTTGATCTTAACCATATTCGACCATTGTTTTAATGTACGGTCATCTCATTACATGAAGCGAAACACTTATAGCATCTCTCTGAGGTACATTTTAGGTGATTTATATATTTGTGTTCATCGAGAATTTCATTTTTTCCTTTGATCTTTCAAAAAAATGCATCGACTTGCTTAAGACGCGAAGAAGAGAACCTTTTCAATTCATATACAGGTGCATCTCAATAAATTAGAATGTCGTGGAAAAGTTCATTTATTTCAGTAATTCAACTCAAATTGTGAAACTCGTGTATTAAATAAATTCAATGCACACAGACTGAAGTAGTTTAAGTCTTTGGTTCTTTTAATTGTGATGATTTTGGCTCACATTTAACAAAAACCCACCAATTCACTATCTCAACAAATTAGAATATGGGGACATGCCAATCAGCTAATCGACTCAAAACACCTGCAAAGGTTTCCTGAGCCTTCAAAATGGTCTCTCAGTTTGGTTCACTAGGCTACACAATCATGGGGAAGACTGCTGATCTGACAGTTGTCCAGAAGACAATCATTGACACCCTTCACAAGGAGGGTAAGCCACAAACATTCATTGCCAAAGAAGCTGGCTGTTCACAGAGTGCTGTATCCAAGCATGTTAACAGAAAGTTGAGTGGAAGGAAAAAGTGTGGAAGAAAAAGATACACAACCAACCGAGAGAACCGCAGCCTTATCAGGATTGTCAAGCAAAATCGATTCAAGAATTTGAGTGAACTTCACAAGGAATGGACTGAGGCTGGGGTCAAGGCATCAAGAGCCACCACACACAGACGTGTCAAGGAATTTGGCTACAGTTGTCGTATTCCCCTTGTTAAGCCACTCCTGAACCACAGACAACATCAGAGGCGTCTTACCTGGGCTAAGGAGAAAAAGAACTGGACTGTTGCCCAGTGGTCCAAAGTCCTCTTTTCAGATGAGAGCAAGTTTTGTAATTCATTTGGAAACCAAGGTCCTAGAGTCTGGAGGAACGGTGGAGAAGCTCATAGCCCAAGTTCCTTGAAGTCCAGTGTTAAGTTTCCACAGTCTGTGATGATTTGGGGTGCAATATCATCTGCTGGTGTTGGTCCATTGTATT